TAGCCACCTAGCAGATGGAGCTTAGGCAGCTGGAGGCCTGGCCTTCGGCCTCACCTGGCTTCAAGGCCACACTGGCTTGGTGTGCATCTATCAGATTGACCCAACCTGCTTCGGTCAGTAAATTAGGCCCTGGGGACAGCCAGGCCCAGCTCTCCCTCTTGTCTGATAAGGAGATGAATGAAGCAAAGTTCTTCCTTTGGTCATCAGCTTTAATTTCCAGTCCAACCTGAGTTTCTGAGTAAATCCAACCTGTTGTAAATCCAGAGTGAGAAAGACCAGCTAATGTGAAGGGAAGTGTGTCACTCAAAGTCAGGATCGGTAGGTCCCTGTCTTGTTCCTCCATGTTCCTTCCTGAGGTCTGAGTCCTCCACAGACCGCACAAGCTCCACAGCTCAGATAAGCTCACCTTGCTAGTTTCTGTCTGCTTCTACAATATCACACAACCCAGTACTCAGACATCCAGTGCTCACAGTGAGCCTGGGATACAGAGGATGACCACTGTGCCAGAGCATCAGGATTTGCTTGGGAAAGTGGAATTTGTTCCCTAAAATGCAGGGATTGTTTGACCCAAGTGTGTTTGTGGGAATTAAAACTAACTCTGTTGTCACCAAAAACTTCACAGCCTTTTTTCAAGACACAATTAGAATGGCAACCTGTTTGGAGAAGTCACAGAGACTGAGTAGACTATTTTAGAAATTTAATTTTAATAAAAAATTTTGTTAATTTTTAAAAATTAAAGTATTATAAACTGATTATTAACAGGGTATAGAGTATTATATAGGCATAAACATGGAATAATTAAATCAGACTAGTTAATATGTCTGTCACCTGGATACTTAGGGTTTTTTAATATAAATTTTACTTATCTATTTTCTATGTATGGGTGTTTTGTCTGCATGTATGTCTGCACACCCTGTGTGTGTCTAGCTGGAGTTACAGACAGTTGTGAGCTGCCATATGGGTAGGTGCTGAGAATTGAACCTGGGTCCTCTGGAAGAGCAGCCAATGCTCTTAACCACTAAGCCAACTCTCCAGCCCTCTTAGGATTTTATTTGGGTGAGAAGAGCCAAAACGAATACTGCCAGCTCTGAAATCTACAGCCCATCATAACTACAGTCACTTCACTGAGCAGTATTTCAACAGGAAGGTATCTGCTCTTTGCCCAGCTCCCAACTCCTAGGCTTGAATAACTGTCCTCCTCGGCATCTGTGGCTTCAGTTGTTTTAGGCTCTGTCAGCAAGTGAGACATGCAGTATTTAAGATGTGCAGTCCCTTTAAGAAATTGTGCCTAAGAGCGCAGTGTTGCACAGCTGTAACCTCAGCCCTTGAAAGGAGGAGGCAGGCCATCCTCAAATATGTAGGTTCAAACCTATGAGGCCAGTCTAGGCTAATGAAACCCTCCCCCAAAGCAAAACAAGAGAGGGGAAGAGGAGAGAGAGAGGGTGGGGGAAGGGTGGGGTGGGAGAGATGAGAGAAGAAGAAATGAATTGGTTTTATATGCCATGGAGATCTCTTTCTGACAATTAAAAACAGGAAATTAGATTTGGGTCAGAATTTGGCCTATGAGGGAGACTGAGAATCATTAGCATTAGGTATTTGTCCAGTGTCTAGCTTATTAGACTTAGAATAACATCCTGCAGGTTTATCTATGTCGTCACAAACAGCAGACATTCCTTTTGTAGAGGGCCACCTACTGTCCTATTAAAAATATACCATATCCCCTTCATACTGTAGCTTAGCTGGTGTGAACAGCACCAGCTGTTTGAATTTGGAAATGCAGACATCTGTTCAAAATGCAGACTGAATTCAAAATCTTGAAATATAAACTCTGAAATACGATGGCAGGATAATTCTATTGATTGTTTAAAGAGCCTCGGGCTTTTCTGGAACAGCTAGATGACTTTGCACCCTCACCAGCAATGCACAGGAGTAGTACTCCTTCTTCACACCTTGCTGACACATGCTTTCCCAGTTTTTAGTGGCACTCGCACAGCTTCTTTTGAAAGAGAAAAATGGCAGGCAGAGGTATGTCTTTGTTCTGTTTTAAATACAGTTATTTGCTTTCTTATTGAGTTAAATTTCCTGTGAATTTTTGGTGGCACCCTTGTCAGATGTAGGCCTTGCTTGTCAATATTTTCACCCAGCCCGTAGGTCTGTAGCCCAGACTGGCTTCTTCATTCAACTAATTGCTTCCTTTACCACGCAGAATCAGTGAGTTTGAGATAATCTGTTGCATGAGCATTTGAGGTCACATCTGAAATACTGTCACCGACTCAACAGCATAGGGTTCTCCTTGCTGTCTACTAGTAGTTTCATAGTTTCATGCCTTACACTTAAGTCTTCAGCCCATTTTGAGTTCATTCTTGTATTGGGTATGAGATAAGAGTCCAGTCCATCCTCTGCATGTGGATATCCAGTTTCCCTAACTCTTAATGGAACAGACTGTCATTTCCCTAGTGTGTGTTTTCAGGGCCTCTGTTACTCAGTGGCACCTATTCATAAGTATTTTATTCTCTGTAGCTATTAGAAAGGGACTGTTTTATTGACCTTTCTTTTGGACAGCTCATTGCTAGTGTTTAGAAACATGCTTTTTTGTGTCCTCTAGCTTTACTCTATCTATCTATCTATCTATCTATCTATCTATCTATCTATCATCTACCTACCTATCTACCTACCTATTTTTCCTAAGTTTTGAGTAGACTCTGAGGCTATAGGATCATGTTATCATCAAGCACCAGTTGCTCTAGCAAGAACAAGTTCTATTATTGCTGAACAGAGATCATGAGTGTTCATATTTACCTTATTCCTGGAGAGTGAAATAAACTTTCTTTTTAAAAGTTACTTTTTGAACTTTCTCATTTTTTATTATGGAAGACACTCATGGCAATTTTTTAGTCTATAATATGCATTATATACAACCATGCAAGCATTTTCCTTTATGTATTAACATTTAGTTTCTTCCTCTTTATTATTACAAATCTATTTAAAAAGATTTATTGATTCTTATTTTATGTATACAAGTGTTTTATCTGTATGTTCGTATGGGCACCACATGTATACACTATCCAGAGAGCTCAGAGAAGGTATTGAAGTTCATGAGTTACCATATGGGTGCTGGGAACCACTGGGAACTGAACTTGGATTCCCTGTAAGAGCAGCCAATGTTCTTAACCACTGAGTCATTTCTCTAACTCCTATTATTACAAATATTATAATGGTTATTTAGTTAAAATAGACTCTTGAAAGTGTCCTGGATCAGACAGGTGTGGTAGCATACGCCTTCAATCACAGCACTGAGGAGTCAGAGGAAGGCCTCCTCAGTGAGTTTGAGGCCAGCCTGGTCTACAGAGTGAGTTCCAGACAGCCAGAACAAATAGTGAGACCTATCTCAAAACAAGAACAACAGATAAATAAAATAGAAAGTGTCCGGGTTCAACTAGCATGCAGACACTTAGAACACTAGGTATGGGCCTGAGATGTTTGAGTGGGTAGTGCCTTCTGCTGACCCTGAAGAGCTGAGTTCCATTCCTGGGTCCTACAAAGTAAATGGAGAAAAATAACTCCTCAAGTTGTCCTCTGACCTCCACATGTACACATGTGTGGAGTGTACACACACACACACACACACACACACACACACACACACACACACACACACACTCTAGGTAGATTTGACTACATTTCTTTAAAAACAGAAAGTGGATCCAATTTCTATCCCATCCTTCAAGTTAAGTTTTGTGTTTATGTAGCCTGAACTTTCACCCACATTCCAAAAATCTCTCTGAAGGCATATCCAAATGTGACTCGCCTTCATGTATCATGTAGGGCACTGGACAAAGTCTCTAGAATGGACTGATACCTACTGTCCTTCCTCTCTTCCGTGGAAGACTGGGAAGATGTGAGTACTATACAGGCCCTGGGGATGCCACACCAGGCTCTGTTGCATGAGCTAGAGCCCCTAGTTACATATCTTCTTGCCATGCTAAAACCTGCACTTGCTCCAAAGGCAAAGAAACACAGCTAGCTTCAGTAGAATTCCATCTCGGAGAGACCAGACTTGCTTGCACACCAGGAAATATGGTGGATGGGTAGGAAGGGAACAGAAAATAAACAGAGGTCACACCTGGAACAGGGAAGAAATAGTCAGGATAATAGTGGAATGAGCAGGGCTGGGGAGATGAAGCCCGGGGCATTTTAGAATTGCCAGGATTTGCATGGCATTAGGATAAGAAAGCAGTTTCAGGGGAATGCGCAGCAGGCATTTGGGTTGCTTGTCTGGGAGAGTGGTCATGTCAGGAGTAGGAGGGCAGGGAGAGGAGCCCAGTGAAGAAGAACACGTGACCCTGGATCACTTAAAGGATATGGAGAGACACCTGTATATTTTCAGGGAGAGGTGGGCAGCTCTGGGAGAACTGGACTGAAAATGTGGATTCAAAGGGTATCCTTTTGGGCAGTAGTTGTTGTTTGGTAGCCAGTTCCAAACACTGGCCTCAAGGTGCCAAGGGCTAGCCTTCCCCTGGAGT